CGAGCCGCTCGTGCGCTTCCTGCTGCGCCGCGGAGCCTCGGTCAACAGCCGCAACCACTATGGCTGGAGCGCGCTCATGCAGGCGGCCAGGTGAGGGCCCGGGGCGCCGGCGGTCCCGCGGGTGGCGGCCAGTGCGGGCCAGGACCCAGCCCCCCAGCCTAGCCCAGACCCTGGCGGGCGGGCGGGCGGCCAGACCTTCCCGGCGGCCTTCGGACTCCCGGGGAGGTGACCAGTCAGGGACTCCAGGAGAGTTAGCATCGCCTGTTTTGAGCAACTTGGGATCAGTGAACTTAACAGCAGAAACTTGGAAACATTGGCCTCCCGAAGCGGGATCCTGGAGATTGCCAATAGAATCTTAGGGGCTCTTAGAATCTTGGAGGGGTTCTTTTATTCCTGCTGGCAACGAAGGGGGGCGTCCTAAGAATTGAACCACTCACCCTGGCCTGGCCACCGCCAGCGGCTCAGGATGGTGGGCATGCCAGACACGAAAAGGGCTTGAGGAGAATGGCCCTCTCTGGGGCAGTGGAGGAGCGTGTCTGGCAGCAATCGGGTGTATCCACGTGGAGATCGGAGGATGCATCAGCATTCACCCGGATGATAAAGGCCAAGGGAGGCCATTCGGTCATTTCCACTCATAGTAGGCCTACAAGGCAAAGTGAAACTGCCCCTGTGAGTTTCCAAGACTCGACTCTTCATAGGAGCCTTGTCTTTCTTTTGATGGGGCGGTCGACTTCTGTAAAATATACAGCCTTGGAAACCCTCTGGGGCGGTTCCACTCTGTCCTACTGGGTGGCTGTGAATCAGAATGGTCTTGTTGACTATGGCAAGCCCTGTTCTAATTAGAGCTCTGTGGGCGCTAGCCCATTTAGGACACACTGCTACCGTGTTCGGAAGGCCATCACTGTGCCGAGATGAAAACAGACACAGAGAGGCTGAGTAACTTGCCCTCACTCACACAGCTACCAAGTGGAAGAGCCAAGATTTGAACCTGGGTTGTTTAAGTGGTGAGCCTCCCCTTTCTCAGTCACCTCACAGGAGGAGAACCCATTGAACAACCCTGAAAGACTGGACAGAGGAAGACATCCTGGGGGATGGAGGAAGGAACGCATTGCAGAGGGAGAGGGAAGACAAGAATGGGGTTAGCAGCAGCCAGTGGAGTTGGGACTTGGCCTGGGGGAGCCCTGTGGCTGGTGAGGGCCCTGGGGGTGGCAGTGGTGGAAGGGGGAAGTGGCTTGTCAATGGAAGATGTTGGCCATCTTCCTGTGGGCCGGGCGCTGCAGCGGGGAGGTGGTGCTACAGAAAGAAGGGGAATTCAGGAGTTTTCCAGACTGCGTTAATAGTGTTCTTGGGGAAAAATGTGTTCTGAAGACCAACCTGTCTTTTTATTAAAGGCTTTCATTAAAAAACACAACTTAAAATTAATGTTAAAATAACCTTTAAGGCATTTCTTAAACCGTCATTTTCACTGTGTTCAATACATAGGTAAAACACCGCCTTTTTAGCGATTCTTTGTGAGTGTGATTCGGTGGTGTTGGCTCTGTGTTACCTGTTGGCCAGCCCGTATCATTACGCATTTCCAGCTTTCCCATTGCCCTCGACAGAAGCTCAGTGCTGCTTTTAGGGCATTTTATATCTATACTTTGAATAACGAATATGGTCAAGAGGGCCAAACATAAAACATACACACGTACAGCGATGCTATTCAGTGAGCCTCTCACCTGTCCCCGCTTATCACACCCTGCCAACACTTAGTTTTGTGTGTAACCTTCCAGAGTCTCTTTATACTGGTTTTCTCTGCCTTTACACTATTGACATGTGAGCTCAATCACGTTGTGTGTGTGTCATTCTTTAGGATGCCCTAGAGCAGTGGTTCTCAACCTTCCTCATGCCACAATCCTTTAATACAGTTCCTCATGTGGTGGTGACCCCCAACCATAAAATTATTTTCATTGATACTTCATCACTGTAATTGTGCTACTGTTATGAATCAGGCAATCCCTGTGAAAGGATCATTCAACCCCCCAAAGGGGTCTCGACCCACAGGTTGAGAACCGCTGTACCTAGAGGGTGCTGAGCAATATCCTTGACCTCTACTGACTAGAGGTCAGGAGTACCCCAGCTGTGACAACGCAACATGTCTCCAGACATTGTCATATATTTCCTGGGGTACATGGTCACCCCCATTTGAGAGCCACTGTTTTATACATACGGAGTCCTGGTGGCAGAGGGGTTACACATTGGGCTGCTCACCTCAAAGTCCACAGGAGAAAGATGAGGCTCTGTACGCCTCTAAAGAGCTGCTGTCTCAGAAACCCACAGGGCCAGCTCTACCCAGCCTTACAAGTTTGCCGTGAGTTGGGGTAGATTCTATGGCAGTTTGTTCTGTTTTATGGATGTGTAAGCAAATATGACAGTGGATTTTCTTCCTCCCCTTCTCTCTTTTACACCTATGATCCATACTGTAAGAAGCCCCGGTGGCATAGCTAGTAGATGACACATTGGGCTGCTAACCAAGGTTAACAGTTCAAAGCCACCAGCTGCTTCACGGGAGAAAGATGAGACTTTCTGCTCCAGTAAAGACTTACAACTTCCCAAACTCACACAGATATGTTCTATTTTGTTCTACAGGGTCGCAACGAGTTGGAATTGATTTGATGGCAGTGAATGTGGTTTTTGGAAGTTGTATACAAACTGTAGGAGCCCTGGTGGTGTAGTAAGTTAAGCATTGGACTGTAACCGAAAGGTCAGCGATTCAAACCCACCAGCCACTGAGCAAGAGAAAGACGAGGCGTTCTGCTCCCAGAAAGACTTAAAGGAACCCTCTTCTCTGCCCTGTAGGGTTCCGTGATTCAGGATCACCTCCGGGCCGGAGGGTGGGTGCTCTGTTCTGCCCCCAGCTCTTCTCACGTCGTGCTCTTCAGTGGCTTTCCCATATCAGTACTCACAAGCTTTCACTGAGCCTCATGACCGTCCACTGTATGGTTATTGGTGGCCCTACTGGTGGCCGCTTGGGTTGTTCCCAGGCTCCTGCTATTAAAATCACGCTGCAGTGAATAATTTGATCCATAGGCCATTTCCTGCATGAGCAGGGATGTATCGATAGGAAATTCCCCAAGGGAGGGAGTACAGGTCATTTGTCATTGTGATAGATACTGTCAAATTGGTCTCTAGGAGGTTTATTGATTTTCTGTGACTGCTATAGAAAGAGCATAGGTAGAGCACTGAATTAAGCATCGTGCTGCTAACCTCAGGTCAGTGGTTAAAGCCCACCAGCACTCTGCAGGACAAATATAAGGCAGTCGGCTTCTTCATAGATTTACAGCCTCAGAAACCCACCTGGGCATCCTACTGGGGTCACTTATCAGTTGGAATCAACTAGACAGAAGTGCTTTGTTGGTTTATGGCTGCTATAACAAATGACCACACATTTAACGGCCTAGAACAGCACGCATATGTTATCTTACAGTTCTCGTGGTCCGAGTGAAATGGGTCTCACTGGACTGGAAGCCAAGTGTCAGCAGGCCTCTGCCTTTCTGGAGATACTGGGAGAATTTGTTTCCCCGCCTTTTCCAGCTGCTGGAGGCCACCTGTGTTCTTTGGTTCGTGAATCTCCCCTTCCATCTTCATCCTAAACCAAATCCACTGCCATCAAGTCGGTTCCAACTCATAGTGACCCCAGGAGGCTTTCTGAGACGAAATTTTGATGAAACCTCCCCATTAGATGCCCAGTGTGTCCACCAAGGCCCCTTTCTTTCTTCACAACGGCCACCTGTCACAGCAGACTGACCTCTGCCAATGACTGGCGTCTCTTTCTCGGAACCTTACTCTCCACGTGCCTGCAGTTAAGGGACCCTGTTGATGACATAGGGAGTTCATCCAGGACGATCTCCCCATCGCAACATCAGCGAGTAGCAACCTTACCTTTATCCACAGCCTTCATTTCCTCTTGTAACCATACAGGTCTCAAGGGTTAGGACGAGGGCATCTTTGGGGGTAGGGGGGCATTGCTCTACCTGCTACAGCGGTGTTCCCTGCCCACCAGCAGTGCTCACGAGGACGCTGCCTCGTCAGCCTCTCAGACCTCCTGTGTGTTGATCTGTTGATCAGACTTTGCATTGTTCCTGATCTGAGAGGGGGAGATGGTATCTCAGTGTAACTGTGACTTGTTTTCTCTCGTGAGCGAAGGTGTGCGTTTTTCCAGATACACAAGCCATCTGCTTTTCTATGTGACCCAAAATATTTTATTTCTCTGGGTACTTTTCCAGGGTGGTTTTCCTGGAATCTGATTTGCATTCTTTTTGTTGTTATATTCCGTCCAGTCTGATTCTGACGGGTAGCATGCAAACCTGCAGGACACAGTGGAATTGCCCTTGGGTTGTATAGATCTAAAGAGCCGTGTCTACCTGGGAGCAAGCGACTAGGTCGTTCCTCCTGTAATGTGGCCAGTCAGTTAGAACTGCTGGCTCTGGTGAGCAGCCCATTTTAACCATTGCACCACCAGGCACTTTTTGTATTACTGTCTGGTTACTTGTGTTAGTCTGGGTAGACTAGAGAAACAAATCCAGGAAGACTCATGTGTATAAGAAAGAGGATTATACACGAGAGCAATTGAACATTGAGAAAACATCCCAGCCCAGTCCAGATCAAGTCCATAAATCTGATATTAGCCCATATGTCCAAGACGAATCTGTAAAATCCTCTTCACACTCACGCAACACATGTAATGACACCGAATGCAGAAAGATCACAGGCCAGTAGGTTGGAAGTCTTCTGGGTCCAGAACTCTGGTTGCACCCGGGTAGGTCCACGTGGCTTCTCCAGCTCCCAGGGCGTAGCGCCATGTGTCTTGTCTGTACAGCATATCTCATGGAGTGAGCAGAGAGAGAGTGTCTCCTGCCTCCAAGGAGGAAATACAGGAGTTTCCAGAATTCTCAGAAGGCCATGCCCACATCGAGGCCTCATTGGTTATATCTTGATTGACAGGCATTCTCTACCCCTTCACTCGTAATCCTCTCAAATGGATACCAGATTATGTAACTACCACATTACTTGTTTTACATTGTATTTGATATTAACAATTAATATACAAT